GCCCACGAGCTCAGAAGGACAGTGAGAGTCAGGTGGGGGGCAGGTGTGGGGACACTGCTGATGAGGGCAGTTCAACCAACTGAGACCCATGTAAACTCAGAGAGGAGGGGAAAACGCCCTGGAGAGACAGAAGAAGAGATGGGGGAACCATCCGGAAGAGGGATCCCTGGGGGGCATTAGGAGCCGGTGTGCCTGTTGCCTTCCTGCTCACTAACCTCCTCACTACAGGCACTGACCAACGTAAGGAAGAGACCAGCCTTACGGGGATAGCTGTTCTATTTTGTTCTCCTGTGGGACCTGGGGTGCCAAGGGGCTCAGCCAAAAGGCCCTCAAAAATGGGGGGATTGTGACTAATGAATCCTGGTGGGGCTGTCCTTACTGTGACGCACAGAATAGTGATTATCAATGATCACAACCACGCCATCATACCCACTGGTGTTATCACCAGCTCTCTGCTCACCTTCCCCGGTTTCCCTTCTTTTTATTCATTTCTTTTTATTTATTCTTTATTTTTTAAGGCATTGCTTTCTCCTTTTTTTAAAGTTTATTTATTTATTTTAAAGATATTATTTATTTGAGAGAGAGCGTGTGTGTGAGCGGCGGGGGGGTGGGGGGGCGGGGGAGAAGGAGACAATCTCAAGCAGACTCTGCACTGAGCGTGGAGCCCCACGCAGGGCTCCATCTCACCACCCAGAGATCATGACCTGAGCTGAAACCAAGAGTCAGATGCCTAACCGACTGAGCCACCCAGGCGCCCCTATTTATTTATTTTTAAGTAATCTCTACACCTAAGATGGGGCTCGAACTCGTGGCCCTGTGATCAAAGGTTGCATGCTCTACCAACTGAGCCAGCCAGGCACCCCACTGGTTTCCCTTCTTAAAACCCATGGAGAATCCTAATTTGGGGGTTCCTAGGATCTTGGAGTCAGAACAAATCTTGTAGGGGTCCCACCCATTTGTAACCATCTGTTTGCCCATCTCCAGCCTGGGCACTCAAACCCACCGGTCACCCACTGCCGTGGCAAATTGTTGAAGACAGATACCTGCCCCTTAAGTCCTTGGTGTCCCTATGGAGAAAGCTGGAGGAGCTCTGCCATCTTCACAAATCCCCAGGTCTTCTCCATTCTTCCCCAAGCAAGCCCAGACATATACAGCCTCCCACGCTGATCTGCCACCACCTCTTTGAACATCCAGTTCAGGGTCACCCACCCCACCCTACCCCACCCCTGCAAGAAAGCATTGCACATTCTCCCTCAAGCCCTGCTACTGTTAACTCCAGCCTACTTCTCTGCAGTTATTTGCTGAGAGCCTCCCACCAGCAGGAAAAGGATGGTCTAATTTGCCTGCCTTCTAGGAAGTCCTCCAAACCTCTACTTTCGCCTTTCTGTCTTTTGCTCAAGTGTATCTTCTCCCAGACTGTCAGGAAGTTCTCCACATTTAACCCGAATCTCACCCTCAGTGGGAAGGACTCGGAGAAAGGTCATTTATTCCAAGTCCTATCTCAGCTTCCTGGGTCACTGACAGTGTGCTTTCCTTCCCTCCATCAGCCTTCCAGAAGGACTCCCCCGACTCCAAACCCCAGGCTAGGGCCCCAGCACCCCGTTACCCCAGGGCAGTTCCGGGGAGGCCCGCCTCCAGGCCAGGCTCTAGCTCAGGATGTCAGCCTTGGCCCCAGTGGATCAAGGGGGGAGCCGTAGTACAGCCCAGCCCCCAACCCCGGCTGGAGAAGGAGGTAATTAGGAGCTGTGCGGTCCCTGTCCCCCAACAGGTACAGCTGAGCAGCTGCATCCATCATCCGGGCAGCTGCCGGGGAGGGGGGGGTCACGTGGCTGGGCAGGACCAACGGGAGGGCGGGGGGAGGCGGCGGGGCTGGGGATTGGCTGGTCGGCCGCGGAGAGTGCCGGGCTGTAGGGGATAACCTGAGAACGACCTTGTGGGGACTTTAGCCCCCAGTCTCTGCTCCTCCCTAGACGTCCCTAGTTCCTAACCAGCAGCCCACCAGTAGCCCTCACCTTGCCACTCCCTCTCGCCCCTCAATGCCACTTCCCTAGGGTGCAAGGGACCCTCTGACTCATTTTGTTTAAAGGAAAATGGCCTCTTGTGTGCTTGATAGGTCTGAATGAGCCAGTGGGGGCAGGGAGTCGCGGTCTGGCCTGAATAAGGGCTGGTGACTCCCGGAGCAACACTGCGGGAAGGTTAGGGTTCGAGGAGAGAAAGGATAGGAGGGACGGAGGAGGAGGGAGGGGGCCATGTTTGGATGGGAGAAGTGCTGGTGCAGGTGCGTGTTCCCCTAATTGGCTGCTTTGGTGCCAGGGTGTGAATGCGAACGAGGGCGTGCTGGCAGCCCTGTGCCTGGCGCATCTCGTGGGGGCGCCGCCTGGGACGTGTTCTGCATACTTGCATTGACCTGGGTAAATTGCCACAAGCTGCGGTACACTTGGGCAGAGATGGGCAGGTTGACCTTGACCTTCTTTCTGTGTGTGTGCAGAGGCTCGCACGTGTACCCATGCAGTTGGTACCAAGCACACTGACACAAGGGGCTCTCACCTGGGCTGTTTCTGACCGAAGAGGGGAACCCCGCGACTTGCTTGTGCCTGGGACCCCGCCGTTTGTCTGGCAGCTGAGGGGCAGGAGCTCCCCCCCCCACACACCCCCCTTAGAACCACAGGTCAGGGTGGCAGCTGGCGGGAGAGAAGAAAGGGAAAAGAGAGGAGGGGCAGCTTCTCCAACACCTGTGAAGGTTCTTCGTTATATATGCAAATGTCCTCATTAGAGATGCCGAGCGCTTCCCGGAGCTAATGGCGGCGGCAGCCGAGTCGGTGCGGCAGTGCGGAGTAGAAGGAGACTGCGGGCTGGGGGACGGTGGGGGCAGGACCGCTGCCCTCGGGCTGGGCACAGCCAGGGCCCTCATGCCCCCAGGGCGGTCCTGGGTTGTCCCGGAGGGGCGGTGGTGAGCCCACGGTCAGAGCGAAGGCCATGGGCAGGCAGGGCGGACTCAGCCGACCACAGCTCTGGCACCTGGCTCTGCCCCCCGGAAGGCGGGCGTGGGGGGGGCGCACCCCGGATCGGGCCTCGCCAGCCGGTCCCTGCGGGAGGACTGCGGCCAAAAGCACACCACGCCCCCGCCTCCAGCTCTCCACCCAACCAGGCCCAAGAGGCCGGCAACCTCTGCATCTTGGAGCAGGGACCCTGGCGGACAGTACTGGCCCAGCCTGACTCGGACCTGCACACAGCCTGCTTCCAGGCCTCCGTTCCTCCTCCGGCCGCCTCTCCGAGAAAAACAGCCTCATTGTAGTTCTTTCTTGTCACCTCAACCATAAAGAGAGGGGCCTGAGTCTAGCCGCTGCTGCCACTCAGCCCACCCGACATCCATTTATAGAGCGGCCATTCCTTGGGGCTGCCTTGTGCTTTTTCAACCTCGCTGCCCCCAGCGCGGCACCAGAGACAAACACAAACACAAACGCAAACACCCTCAGAAACATACAAGCAATCACTCTCCTCCTCACCGGGGCACACACTGCCCTGTTCATATTAACTTGCCCTTAGACACACACCCACACTTCAACAGTCCTGCCAGTCTCTGCTGTCCTTGAGCACACACGTCACCCCATTTTGGGGACACAGTCCACAGAGACCTCCCCTGCCCTAGCCCCCACCTCTCCTTTCTTCCCTTCTCCCTCCCCTTCCCGCCCTCCTCCCTGGGCACCCGTTTGCCAGGGTTATTTATAGAAGCAAGCGATAAATTCAGTGTGTTTCTCGGCGCGCAAAGCTATAAATAATGGCACAGATCATTAAACCCCAAGAGCAGGCCCAGCCGCCCCACAAACAAGATGAAGTACAAACCACCACGTGAGAGGGAGAGAGGGAGGCGCAAGGCAGAGCCCCAGACTCAGGGCCGGTAGCTTCCAGCCTGCACCCTGCAGCCTAGTCCCAGTGAATTTGGGCCTCCAAGGGACCGGCCTGGGTGGGCGCTCGGGGTGGGGGGGGGTCCAGAGAGCAGAGCTGGGTCTGGGCTTGCGGACCGGGCTCACCCCCACCAAACCGCCACACTGCCACACCCTCCACCCCTCCCCCTTTCACCCTCTCGACCACATCCCCACCCCCTGCTTCTCTTTCCACTTTCCTCACTGGTTTTCATCTTTCCTATATTTTCTCCTTCCAGATTGCTCCTCTTTCCACCTCTCCCTTCATCTCTCTTCTCCCTCTTTCCTTTACCTTCTGCCCTTCACCTCTCCCTCTCCACCCACTGTTCTCCCCAGCCCTTCCTCCTCTCACCCCAAGTCCCCAGGCTCCAGGAGGGGCCCTGATCCCACCAAGGAGCCCTCAGAGGCAGAAAGTCCCCTGTCAGCAGAACGCTGGGGCTGGCTGCTGATTCAGTGTCTGTAATCTCCCAGGCGGAGGCAGCCGTGGCAGGGGGGCAGGGAGGGGGACAGCGAAGATGGATGAGGAGAAGAACAAAATGGCACGGACACCAGGGACAGGCTCCAGGCTGAGAGGGGTTCCAGGGAGTGGAACCAGAGCCCCAAACCTTCAGCCCAACCCCACCACCGCTGGCTGGTCAGTCAAGTGAAAGAAGTACTTTCTGGGTACAGAGATGGCGCCGTGCGAAAGATAAGGCAAATGGGAAAGAGCAGAGGGGACCGGGCAGGGGCAGCAGAGACAAGATATTGGAGGAATCAGAGAAAGAGGGGTCAGAAGGAAGCCAGGAGAAAAGGGGGGCATTGATAGAGGGTTGACCCTACCTAATCCCACCCATCCCAGGCCAGTGTGGACCCCTGAGCAGCCATATTGTGCTCCTGAGTCCAGGCCACGGTGTGGAAGGTTTGGGGGTCCTGACCATGGCTACCACAACCCTCCCTCCTTCACTTTTAGGAAGTACCTCTACCCTTTGGGGTTGACCCAACCCGACTCAAGCTTATTTTGTGGAGGTCTCCCTCAGCCACCACTCAGGTCGCCTACAACCTGGTGTCTTTCCCCCCTTCCCACTGGGAAGTTCTTACCACTGCCTGTTTCCGTTTGAGCTGCTCTCTCGGGAGGGCAGAACCTATGTCCAATATGCACCAAACGGGGGTCCCAGAACACCATGCAATGATCAACTCTTTGAAGACTAGTCAATGCCAGGGATGATAGTCAGTTCTCTCCCGCTCGCACGATGTCAGGCAAACAGACTTCAGATGGGGCAGCGGGGATCAGACTCAACATCAACCAGAACGGGCTGGTGCTGAGGGTGGGGAGATGGCAGGACGGGCAGTTACATCCTCTGACAGTTAAGGGGGAGCCCCCACGGGCCTGAGCCAGGTGTCGCCTGGCCTTGCGGCCACGCGTGGACAAGAGAGCCTTGGAGTCTTCCCCGCCGGTCCCTGCCCTCCATACCCCACAGCCAAAGCGGCCATCTGCTCCCACTCGCTCCCCTGTCGGCCGCTTTGATGCAGAGCTCGGTTATTTGCCGGGGGATTTATAGTAGGAGCCAGGACAGCAGCTAAATCCCCCAGCCACCGAGGTAAATCAGCGGCCGCGATGGGCCGGAACGAGGGAGCTGTCAGGCCGGGAGGCGGCACAGCAGGGCTGGAGAGGAAAACACTTGTCCCTGCTCCCTGGGGGCAGCAGCCGATAAATCCCCTCAGGCACCGATTAGGGCCCGCGGCCTGACCAGATCTCGAGGGCTGTCAGCGCTGCAGGCAGCGATTACAGGGTGCGCAGCGCCCGGCGTGGTGTCCAGCGGAAACGGGCGGCAGCCCAGGGGTGGGATGGGCACGAGAGCCTCGCAGAACACACGCGCTGGTGGCATCGGGTGGGAGGCCAAAGTCTGCCTTCCCAAGAGCTGGGGAAGCAGGGTCCCAGCCGAGGAGGGCAGGTTCTCTGGAGCCGAACGCCTGGGCTCCGATCCCGCTCTGCCACTTACGAACCGTGTGACTGTGGGCAAGTTACTTACTTCCCCGGGGCCTCAGTTTCCTCGCAGGTGAAATGCGGATGAAAGTAGGAGCTGCCTTGCAGTCCTCATGGTGAGGAGGCCTTGAGGTGACGTGGGCTGTTGGTGGTGCTGTGCATACAGTACACTCTTGAGGCTAGCTTAGATCTGGTCTGTGCAGAGAAAGGAGAAGGGGCAAATGACCTTTGGAGGAATCCGGGGGTGCCAAGATGCTGTTTAAAGAAAGAGCGCTCTCCTGGGGCACCTGGGTGGCTCAGCCGGGTAAGCGTCAGACTCTTGATTTTGGCTCAGGTTATGATCTCAGGGTCCTGGCATGGAGCCCCACTGTGGGCTCCGTGCTCCGCAGGGAGTCTGCTCGAGATTCTCTTCCTCTCCCGCTGCCCTTCCCACCCCCCTCTCTTTTTCTGTAAAATAAATAAATAAATCTTTAAAGAAAGAGGGCTCTCTGAAGCTCACTGGGAGAGAAAGTGAGAACAGTCTCCCAGGGCCAGTATTGATTCCTGTGGTTAAGAGCACAGCCCCCCCCCGCCCAGTCAGGTTTGCATTCAAGTTCCAACACTTATCAGTCAGGTTTGCATTCAAGTTCCAACACTTATCACCTGTGAGACCTTCAGCAAGTTATTTAACTTCTCTGCGCCTGACTGTCCTCATCTGTAAAATGGGGATGATGATAATACCTCACAGGGCTATTGAGAGGATTGCACAATACATAAATTCATACACAAATTGCCTTGTCCGTAGTAAGTGCTCAGTACATTTTAGTCTTGTTATTACTATCATTTTAGCAAGTGAATGAGGGCCACGCAGTGAGACCTAAATCCAAGCAGTGAAGCTGACAGGGAGAGAAAGGAGGGGCGGCATGGGGTGAAGACTGCGGGTGGGGGCAGAGGGGTCAATACGGAGAAAGGGAGCCAGGATATGGAAGAGGAAGATAGAAGCAGGCAGGTAAGATGGGAGACTTGGAGGCAGAAAGAGAGAAAAGGGAATGACACAGAGATAAGGTTAACAGGAGAGCTGGGGGGGCGGGGGGACGGGGGTTGCAGGATGGGATCGGGAGGGACAATGAATGGAGCCTCAGAGCAGGAGTCAGGGAAGAGGGAGGGGGCAGAGGGGGCTGTAGGGAGTACTGAGGGGCAAGGGAAGTGAGAAGTGGCTAGGAGAGGCAGGAGAAGAGAGGAGACGAGAGTATTATAGGCTGGGAGACAAAGGAGGAAGAGCCCTACGTGGAAAAGCAGGGAGCCAGAGCTGGTGCGGCTAGTCACGCAAACATGATTCCAGGCGGCTCTGCAGCCCCCTCCCCACTTTCATTTTCAGCTTGGCTTCCCGCTGGCCCCCCTCCTGCATCCCTCCTGCCAGCCTCTACCTTCTCGCCCCAGGGCAGATGAGGCAGCAGGGAGGGTGTGGAGCTTGGATTCTGCTCACTGGGGGGTGAGAAGGAGAGGAAGGAAACTGTCCCCAAAGCAGAACAGAACCCAGGGGTCCTTCTGGTGGCTCCCCCTCATCAGCGGTGGAAAGAATTGCAAGAGTAGAATCATAATAATAGTAGCTAAAGCATTGGCACTTTGCAGTTTACAGTGTTTTACAAGCCCTGAGTCTCACAACAACCCTTGTGATGTAGGCAATATTGCCCCATTTATTATTATCATTATCATCAAGCAATTATATAATGCTTACTACCCGCTAAGCACTTCACCTGTGTTAACCCTCTGATTCCTGGCAACAGCCCTATTAGCCCCATTTTACAGATGACAAACTGAGGCCCAGATCCTATGTCCCTCCGCCTTTGCCTCACCTCTGATCTCTCCTCTTTGCTTGACCCTTTTTCTAATTCTCTCTTCTTCTCTTGTCCTCCCTCAATTCCCCTCTTCCGATCATGCTTCCTCACCAAATTTCAAATTGGATTTCTGCACACTCTCTAGGCATCCCCCACCCCTGCCCCGTGACCAGCTGGACCTGTTGTGACTGCATCTGATCAGCAGCCCCTTCGTCTGGGGACCTGCCGTAGCAACCAAAAAGAAATCACACAGTGGCTGAAGTGAAATATGACAGTATCTTCAGAGATGCTCTTCCCCCACCCCCATTCCTGCCCAAAAGATCTGAGATGATCTACCATCTCAGACACAGATATAACAGAACATCAAAACACCCATGAAAGAGTAAGAAAGGAGAAACAAGGGGGGGGTGGGGGTAAGAAAATGTTCTGGGAAAGGAAACCTAAAGATGGAGACTTACTTGCAGGGGAACCTAAATTTAGCCATCAGTGTCCTAACACAGAAAAATAAATGAAACCAGGTCATGGCCTAAAACCTCCTCGCCTACACCAGAAGTTCCTTCACATGTTCATCGATCGTGTATTGAGCACCTACTGGGTGCCGCGCTTCAACGACGTAATCGACACCAAGGACACAGACCTCTCTCATCACCCTACAAGGTGGAGGAGATTGGGCCTGTGATGTGCTAGGCACAGCTGCTCTAGAAGAGCTGGCGGGACTCAGCTGAAAGAGCTCGAGGGCAGTGGGGAATGTAAAGGTCAGAGGCCATGGGACCTAGGGAGAGGCAGGGCCACACGACATTGTCCTGGAGCTGAGAAACCAATAGAAGGCCCTGGGACAGGTTTCCTGCCCCCTTTCCAGCCCTCTTAGCCCTGAGTGGCCTGTTTGGGACAAAGTCCCTGCCTGCCCATCTATCTACCCACCTTCCACGTGATGCTGGCTGCTTCTGCTCGTTAGCACATCAGCATGGGGATCCAAAATAAATCAGATGAAAATAATATCCCACGCTCTCCCGGGGCAACAAAATCTGCCCTCTCTGTTGGTGTAATTTCCAGCCTGTGGGAGGAAAGAGCACAAATTAGAGAGTGACAGAGGAGAGGGACATACAGGGAGGAAAAATCTGGATCCCTGTTAAGGAAAACTCTAGATGTGCAGGGGTGGGGCTCCCTCCCACAATCACAAAAATGCTGCCCCTTCCCAAGCTGCCAGCAAAAAAGGGCCTGTAGCTATCTCTGCCTGTGGGAGAAATACACACATGTGAAACCTACAAGGTGGTTCTTAGGAAGGCTGACACCTGGCCTGGCCAGTGCTGGAGGTTCCTAAGCAGGAAGGCCCCCAAGCATATGGCACTGGTGACATGCCCAGGGGCACCCACTCCAGGCCTTGAAACACTCTGAGGGCGCTTGGAGTATTTGATGAGACAAGAGACTATAGCACACTCCTGGGCGAGTGGGTGGGTCCAAGCATTCACCAGCTGGACCAGCCATGCTGTTACCTGCTCAGCTGCCATGAAAAACTGACCTTATCTTTCCCTCCTTCTCCCTTTCCTAAAACAGTTTGTCCTCATCGGGGGCTCCTGCTTAAAAGAACCTGGAGTTAAGGCAGAAGTTTGGAAAACTTCCCACATCACAAAATTAGCTCATCCCCACAGTGGACCACCCTCAGCTCTTCCCAAACCCAGGCACCACCCTCTCACCTTCAAAGCCTTACTGAGCCTCCAGTGAGTGCAGACAAACAAGACGACACACAGAGATGGGTCCCTCGGTAGGCCAGGGAAACCAATAGAAGGCAAAGCCTTTCATGGAAGCACGTCTTCCAATACACACATCTCATGGAACTCCCTTCCATGGCTCCCTAATGCACACAGAATAAACCTGCATTCACATCAAAGTACTGATTCCTCAAATTGGCATTTAAAGACCCCCTTGGTGCAGACCCAGAAGAGGCCCTACAACTTCTCCTTCCTCCATCACTCACCCTCTCCCTGCTGCTGCTGGTCCCCCTATGGTTCAAGGAACCTGCCCTGAACCGACCTGCTTCCAGCCCTTTTGGCCTGGAGTGCCCTCTCCACCCTCTCCATCCTGGGGCTCCCAGTTGCTCATCACAGCTCTCCCCCATCTTCCTCCAAGGCCAAATTCAAATCAGCTTCTCTTGCTCATGCAAATTGTCTTCCTCGCCACTAGCTGGGCCTCCTGGCTCTTGTTCACTCGTGTGCCTGGTGCTGAGAGGCAGTCTGGGTAAGGTTTGTGGAATCGAACAAAAACTCCAAGCCTGTTCTCTGCCCAGCTTTCTTTTCTGTGACTCATGGGTTCTCAGAAGTAGGGAGAGAGTCAGGGACACGGAGGTGGCAACTGTCTCCAGAGCCCCATTCCCCCAAGTCAGGGGTGGGGCCTCCAGGAGACAGAGGCTGTGCAAGAGATGCTGCAGGTGCCTCTGGGCTTCTGGAAACTGTTGGGATGCAGGCTTCTCAGAGGCTCTGGGGGCCATTAAACCAGTGGTGGTGGCCTTCCTTTCTTCCTTCGGCTCCTCTTTCACTATCTCTCAGTCTTTTCCAATCTTCATCATTCTCTTTTTCAATTTTAAGTGGGGTGTTCCTTCCATCTGAGAGACACCTCCCCTTAGAGACTTGTTACTCAAAATGTGATCTGAGAACCAGCAGCATCAGCATCCCTGGAAATGTGCTAGAAATGCAAACTTTCAGGCCCCACCCTAGATCTGGTCAATCCAATTCTCCAGCTTAACAAGATCCCCAGATGGTTCATGCACACATTAAAGTTTGAACGCACTAGTTTAGAAAGGCCAGGCCAGGGGCCCTACAGGGAAGCTGAATGCTTAAGACATCAATTCAGTCATTCCTTTATCCTTTCAGTAAATATTTAATAAGCACCCACTGGGTGCAAGGTGCTGTGTTAGGCACTGGGGATAAAGTGGGGAGTGATTCACACCCAGGTGCCCAGGCTGGAGAGGATGAGACCAGTGTTTCCCCATCCGGCTGCTCCAGCCCCATTCTCTTGAGTGAGAGGGAGGCCTGGGTCAGGAACAGGAGAATCTCTCAAGAGCCTGAGGTTCCTGAGGGAGCCTTCTCATCCCCCAATCCAAAGAAAGAGAGCCAGTTGGTGAGACAGAAGGGAAGGAGCTATGAGAATGAGGGAGAATGGTGAATAGGACGAAACAGAGAGGATGGAAATGAGGAAAAGTGGGTCTAAGACAAACTCCTTGAATGCTCCCAGCTACTTCAGAGACACAGTGCCATCTTACTTCTTGACCTCTCCATTGAGTGCGCCTCCAGGACAGTACAACACCCCCCATCCCAGCAGCGGGCAGATGGCCTCCCACAACAGGGGTCCTCTTGAATGGAGGACAGCCCCAGCCCCTCTACCGCTCCACCCCAGGAGCTGAGAGGGGAGAAGAGAGGTCACACCGGGCAGAGGGACTGGTTTGAAGGGCACAGGACTAATAAGCAGCGCACAGACTTAGAAGACGGGGTGGGGGCTTCAGGTGAGAGACGGCTGTGCGGAGAATGTGCAGGGGGACAGGCAGGGGGGCCTGTCAGGGAGCTGTTGTGGTCAGCAGTGCAGGTGGGACAAAGAGTGTCCGGCTAGGACTGTTCAAGTAGAGATTGGGAGACATGGTCAGATGTGGGATATATTTGGTGAGAAGGCTGAGAGAACTTGCATATGGACAGAGTATGAGAGATGAGGGGAAGAGAGCTAAAGATGCCAGATCCTTAGGTGTGGGGCCTGAGCTACCTGGTGGTAGGGTAATCCATGGTGATCCGGGGACACTTCTGGAAGAAAGTGTTGGAGCAGGGGTTGGAGGGAAGGAAAGACCTAGGGCATAAAGTGGGGAAGAAGAGAGTCCAATTTGGGAAGTCATAAGGAATGAAGGTGAAGAGATGGGAAAATTAATCGGGGTCCTTAGTTCAAGCTTCTTGAGGACAAAACTTGCATCATCTGTTTCTCCTGGGGACCTCAGAGTCCTCTGTTGCTATTCTGCACAGACTGGGGATAATCAGGCACTCAGTAAACATTTGTTGCTTGTTGAGAAGTGGTCCAAAAGGCAGCACGTGCGGTGATATAGAGAGCTTTCAACTATGTCTCGGGAGCCCTGGCCACCTACTGACACAGGGACCTTAGACGAGACACTGTCTCTCAGGGCCTCAGTTTCTCTACCGGCAAAGCAGTAAAGGCAAACCAAGATCGAGTCCTTTCTCACCCCAATTCTCTTTCCCTGGCTCTGAGACCAGAATGCTGGGCTTCGGCAGCTCTCATCAGTCCTTGAGCAGGGGTGGCATGAGGTGGCCAGTCTGGTTGGTGTGTGGAGTTTGGAGGGGAATAAAGTCGAGACCCAGGGAGTGAGTTGGGACTATCTAGATACAGGCCAGTGAGGGGCTGCCTACCCCACCCCACCCATTCCCAAATCTTTCTTGCTGTGATGTCTCTGCATTTCGGGGGTATTTTTGTTTTGTTTTGTTTTGTTTTTGCAACTCCACAACTTCTAAATATTGAAATGCCTGGACTTAGTCACTGGATGTCCTCTATTTCCCATCTGCATTCACTCCTCAGGGCATCTCATTCAGTGTCACTGATGACTCCCAAATTTGTGTCTCCAGCCTGACCTCCCCTATTGAACTCCAGTCCTGGGTATCCATCTGCCCATCAGACACCCCTGCTCGGGATGCTTAGTAGGCATCTCAAACCTAACATATCCCACACTGACCCCCTCCCAAAGCCAGCTTCTCCTGAGGTTGTCTCCATGTCAGTTCATGGTGGTGACTCCATGGTTTTAGTCACTCAGGCCAAATCCCTGGTCTCACCCTGACTCCATTCTCTCTCTCACACCCCCCATCTGGCCCATCAGCAAATTCCTTGGCTCTCTCTGCAAAGTATAACCAGACTGTGACTAGTCGTCACCACTTCCACTGCCATGTCAGTGGTCCAGGCCACCATCATCTCTGACCTGGGGTGGCAGGAGGCCCCTAATAGGCCTCCCTGCTCCTCACTTGTTTGCTCAATCTAGTCTCAGCAGAGGAGTAAGAATTTTCTATAGAAATACAAGGTAAATCATGTCACTCCCCTGCTTAGTCCCCTCCAGTGTCTTCCCATCTTACTCAGCGTGAAAGCTGAGTCACAGGCCTCCCTGTGACTCACTGGTCCCTACGCGGTCTGGCTCCCCTTAGCTCTTGGACCCATCACCTAGTCTCTTTTCTTACTCTCTCTGCTCCAGCTGCATCAGCCTCATTGCTGTTCCTCCAACGTGCCACACATGCTCTCGTCAGGGCCTTCGCCCTTGCTGCTCCCTTTGTCAGGAATCCTCTTCCCCAGAAATCTGCATGGGCACGTAGCATCTGGTAAATGGCAGCCTCCGTATGCTGAGAGGCCCAAGCCGGGATAAGAAAGAGAGCGGAGAGGGAGAGGAGACAACGGAGTCTGGTTCTGCACAAGAAACAAAATGGCTCTTCTTGCTTGCTCTGTCTCCCTCCTTAGAGGGGACTGGCCCTGCTCTGGTTCCTCAGGAAGGACCCCACTCTCCGGCCGACCCTCAGGAGAGCAGCAAACCTTGATGACATCACCTCCCTCTGGTCCTCTGTGGACCCCCTGATGCCAAATGTGGCCATCCTCTCTGCCCCGCTCCTAAAGGGTGTAGGGAAGAATGGGTCTCGTCTGGTCGTTCACTCCTGACTACTTATTTCCACCATCATCCAGTAGCGCCTGGGCCCATCAAGCCCACCACACGCCCCACTTCTTACCCTATGCTCCCTTTCCCTCCTCTGCCCCTTCTTGCTGCTCCCAGTCATCAACCCCCATCAGCACCCATGTGGAGGCAGGCTGAGGGGTGGAGGCTGGCCTGGTGAGGCCAGACAGGCCAGGCCACAGGCCTCTGAGTCGCGGGGAGGGCAAGTGAGCTGCAGGGGAAGGCTGTGGGAGTGGGAGGGCGCAGAGGCCACGGGGGCAAGGAAACCGAAGCTGTGAGGAGCTGGGGATCCCGAGAGAAGCCGAGAGGGCGCCGGCCAGGAAAAGGGGGTCCCAGAGGCAGAAATGGGGAGACAAGCCAAAGGTGACAGATGGCCGGAGACAGGAGGTGCAACAGGGAGTCAGACACCCAGAGAGCGAGAGACAGACTGCGGGCGAGGCAGGGAGGGAGTCGAGTCGGCCCCGCCGAGAGAGCCGGGGAGACCGGGGCGGCCAGCCCGGGCGCGCGGGCGGCGGAGAGCAGGCAGACAAAGAGAGGCGCGCCGAGCCGAGGGCAGCCGCGGAGGGGAGCGGCGCGCACGGACCGGGCAGAGGGCCGCCGAGCCGGCCGGGGGGGGGGGGGGGGGGGGCGCGGAGCCGAGGCGGCGGCGCGGGCGCGGGCGCGGGCGGGGCGGGGCGGGGCGGGGCGGGCGCCGGGAGCCGGCTCGTAAAAGCCGCGCGGAGCGGGGAAATTGCCGCCGGAATCGCTGAGCTCCACAAAACGCCGCCCGCGCGGCCCGCCGCCGCGCCCGCTCCAATCTCCAGCCTCATCGCCGCGCGGGCTGGTTATGCATTTAAATGTTATTTAATTGGATTGCGGAGGAGCTGGGGGCCAGAGCGGCCCCCCGCCCCGCACGCTCCGCACGCCCGAGCTGCTCGCCTCCTCCGCAGATCTGTTTTCCGAGTCACGGATTGCGGCGCACCCCCTCCCCAGCCCCTCCCCCGGCCCGACGGCTCCCCTTCGCGTCTGGGCTCCCTCTCCCGTCTCCCCCGCAAACGGAGCCAGAGGACACTCAGAAAGACACAAGTCCCCTGAAGAGGCACGGAGGCACAGACACACAAAGACACGACAGTAGCAAAAATGGGTCACACCAAATTACACAAGTGTCCCCTCTGGAAGATTAAAAAAATGCGGAGACAAAAAAGACCCCATGGATCACAAAAGTATACAAATGCACGGATACACTGGAGACCCACACTCCAGAGGGCACACATCACCCTGGCCCTTGGAATGGTTCTTACCAAGTGACACTGCCACACAGGAACAAGATTGCGCTAACTCAGTGACCCCCCAGGGTGAC